TTATAGAACCATTGCAATAGTGGCACTGGGCCCTTCACCCAGCCTCTCATGCTGCTGAGAATGGTACATAACCACTCCACATTGGTCAAAACTAAGTGTGCATCCTAGTAACTAAACTCCAGACTTAATTCATATTCACTCATTTTCTACCAATATCCCTTTTCTGTTCCACAATCCCATCCTCAGTCCATCTTTGCTTTTGCCATATGCCTCGGGTACTTCTGGCCTTTTCTCATGCCCCAGAGCCCTCTGAGAAACTCACTCGGGCATTTTGTAGGACAGCCCTCAATTTGGATTGCCCCTGTGTCTCCTGATTGGAGGCAGGCTGACCTCGAAGGCAATGTGTGTCCCTAGCGTATCACCTCAAGCAGCCATGCCCAGTGTCTGTGCCTCAATCCCTAAGTTAAGGTGGTATTGGCCAGGTTTGTCCAGTGCACAGATACGGCTTTTCCCTTTGTAATTGATTAATTTCTCAGGGAACTGCTTAGTGACCGCACCTTTAAAACAGATTCTCTTTGCCAGAACACGTCTTCCGGCCTATGGCCTTGCAGCCTGCTGCTTCTAGTATGGCCTCACTGGTGTGAGTTTTCTGTCCCATTGAGCTGAGACTCTCCATGGAGATACCTTATTTCTCTTCTTCCTTAGCCAATTAAAATCCCATTTCAGGGTATCCTCAGGCCTGCCAGGGATGGGCCGGTTAGGTAGTGACAGAGCAGAGTAGGAACGAGCTTTTCTCTCCAAGCCAGAGACTTTTCTCTCCAAGTTGAAGCGCTGAGCCCTACCCACTCATCCCCTCAAGGGTCTCTTGAGGCCCTGGGCTGTTTGCCTGAGTTCTGATAAGCAAAGATCTCCAAGCCCTTGTTCTGGGCAGGGCATGGGTGAGGCTCTAGCTCTCCTCTTATCTCTCAGGCTCTGCTCAGAGGTCTGAGGAGGCAAGCAGGAGGAGCCAGCCTTGGGGGCAGACTCCTGTGGAGACAGGTGCCCTGACAAGACAGAAGGCTGAACTGGGGTAGGGTATTCAGGGTTTGGGGTGTCCAGCATTGAAAAGGGCCTCCAAGGACCAGGGTCCTTCCCTGCCTGCACACTGGGAATGAGGATGTGCAGGCCAGGAAGGAAGAACAAGCTGAGTACCATGGGTTCTAGGAGGGCCCAGGACACTGCTCAGGCCTGGACAGGCTCCTCAGGACAGGAGGAGGGCCAGGAGCTGGGCCCATCCCTGAAAGGCAGATAATGGCTACTGAATAGAGGTCCAGGAGAAGTGCTTATTTCCTCTGTGTGTTGTGTCCAGCAAAATGTACCTCCAGGCCTGTTTGCACACTGAACAGTTGTGTTAAAAAAGGAAAACAAGGCC